CAGTTAAAGTGGCCTCAAACTGGATTATTTCTGGCAGTCTGTAAAGGCCCATAGTCAGGTTGTAGCCGTTTCGAGTAGAAAACAAATTACTGAGTGATTCCAAAAGAATGCAAAACCAAATAAGGGCACCTTTATTTTGCATCATTTTTTAAAAATCATCTGGTTCAACAAAATCCAAAATTTGCAAAAGAGCAATACCTTTATTGGCCAACTAAAATGCAGAAAATGCATCACACAAGCTTTCAAAACTTTGCTGGCTTCTTCACCAGGCAAAGGTGTTAAAAATCACATACCCCCCCCCCCAAAAAAAGTGAAAATATTAGAGTCACAGACATACATTCTATTTTAGGTTTCATCTGCACAGGCTAAATAATAAATCCTTACATTGATCCTGATGCTGTTGGAACATGTTCCTCTCCTTCCAATGTGAAAATACTTATTTTCGATCTCTGAAAGCTAATGTGATTTAATGTCTGAAAGCTTTAACGTGATCCAGTTTACTCTGCTGTTTGGGGGAAGAAACATGTTTTTAAGATGTGTAACCTGACCCTCAAATTGGAATCACAGTGGAATTGAGGTGGAGGTGGGGGGAGAGTTAAGGCCAGGTTGGTGGGTGATCAACTAAGTCAGATGATTCCTTGATTGATCCCACCACAGAAGTGAAGCTCCTTTGTTTGTATTGGCAGACAGAAAAGTTGCTTTTGGCTGGGGGTGGGTGGGATTTGGTGTTTATATGCATACATTTTCAGGTCAGTATTTCACACACACCCTTCTCTATGGACTTCACTTTATAGAACTGCAGGTAGGAATTGGAATGAAAGGTAAACAAAGGCTGTTTGATTAAGCAGATATGCAAATATATGCATGTATAGCAGGAATAACTTCCCCCACAGCTGCTGCAGTTGTGTGACCAGACATAAACATCTGCACACAGTAGAAATATCCCATTGCACTGATGTAGCTATATAATGGGGGGGGGGGGGGGGGGTCCTGTGTGGCTTTCCAAACTAATTTCACTTTGGATTAAAACGGGTGTGTGTGGCAGTAAAAGTGTCAAACTGGGGCAGGGATAATACACCGTGGCACTGATACAGTCAGCCCTCCTTATCCACAGATTTTTTTTAATCCATGGATTCAAACATCCACAGCTTGGAAATATTCCAAAAAAGTATAAATTCCAAATAGCAAACCTTGATTTTCCATTTTATATAAGGGATAGTATTTTACTGTACCATTGTATTTAATGGGACTTGAGCATCCCCAGGTTTTGTGATCCATGGGGGCTCCTGGGATCAAACCCCAGCGGATAACAAGGGCCCACTGTATACAGCCTTTGTGTAGATCAGATGTAAATCTGTTGTCAGTTAAGACAGTAATGAGAGATTTCAATGCCAGCACAGGCCACTCCTCCAAGGCCATCTGAGCACCAGAGACAAAGGGCAATAACAGACAGGTAATAAAATTTCAACTCTCTGAACAACAGAAGATAGGCAGTAGTTACTCTTCTGTTGCTAATGAAATTTTATTACCTATTATTGCCCTTTGTCCCTGGTCCCCACATGGCTAAGAAGAGAATTGCCTCTGCTTGCATTGATATCCCTCTCTAGACCATCTTAACTGTCAACAGAAGTAACATCTGAGAAAAAATGTTGATCTGTGACTCTAATATTTTTAGCTTTTTTTCCCCCTGTACAATTTTTAAACCACTGCACAGATGATTTACCTATCTTTAAAGCAGATGATTAAGACATTGAAGCAGTTTGAGATTTTCCATACTTTGGCTCAGGGCCTAAGCAGACTGGCGGCACGGGGCCGCCCTGGGAAGGTGCGCCGCGGGACCGAGGCAAGGCATCCCCACGCCTCAATCCTGCGGCGCACCTTCGCCGCCCCTGAAAGGAGCGCGAAAATAGCGCTCCTTTCACAAGTCAGTGAAAGTGCGCCTCAAAAGCTTGCGGCGCACTTTCGCTGACTTTTCCGTCGCAGTGCGTCCGGACGCTGTGGCGGGAGGTTGTCCCCGGAGCGCCAGCCGTGCGGAGGGCCGGCAGCTCCGAGGACTACCTCGGGAGGAGGAAGGGGCGCCGAGCGTGCGGCTGCCCCTCCCCTTCCTTGCCCCGAGGACGGCTTTTTAAGCCATCTGCCGAGGCCCTCAGTCGTTAATCAAATGGAGATTGCAGTCAAGAAGAAGACTAGGACTTGAAAGGACAGTGATGAAGGAACTAGACAAGATCCTGAAGTGTAATGATGTATCATTGAATACTACAGTTAGGATTGCCCATGCCATTGTACAATTTCCAGATTATATGTATGGTCATGAAAGCTGGACAGTGAAGAAAGTCAATAGGGAGAAAATCAACTACCGGTAATTTGAAATGTGGTGCTGGAGAAGAGCTCTGTATTTACCATGGACTGCTAAAAAGACAAATAAATGTGTTCTAGAGTAAATCAAGCCTGAATTCTCTCTAGAAACCAAGATGACTAAACAGGTTGTTGTACTTTGGACGTATCATGAGAAGACATGACTCATTAGAAAAGATAATAATGTTTGGTACTGTAGAAGACAGTAGGAAAAGAGGAAGACCACATTACAGATGGATAGATTCAATCAAGGAAGCCACAGCTCTAAGTCTGCAAGACTTGAGAGTAGGGCTGTTTCAGATAGGGTGATTTGGAGATCTCTCATTCCATTCACTTGTAGGTCACCACAAGTCAAAGATGATTTGATGGCAGTTAACAACAACAATGATGACCCAAGGTCACATAGTAAATTCCATGACCAAATTGGGATTTGAATTTGGGTCTCCCTGTTCCAAGTACAGCACATTAAGCATTATTCAACACAGGCTCTCAAACCAGTCATTCCCATTAAAAAAATAGCATGGAGGCTGATGCATGAAAAATACTAATATTATTGCAATGATTATTATGTTGAATTTGTATAATTAGAGACCAAATTATAATAATTTGCATATTATGCAAATGAGATGTCCAGATTTGCGAACTTGTAACATGGCAGCACCAGGAATCAGCCAGTGAGGAAGTTAGCTGGCAACTAGCCCTTATTAGCAGGCAAATGTGTCAGGAAAGGAAGGAATAACTATCTCTCCAGACAGGAATGTTCTTTAATCAATCACAAATTAGCAAGATATTTATCTCTTGGATGGTAGTAGGAAGTGGTTTTTCAGTCTGAAGGGACAAATGGGTGTGAAGCAGACTCCCTGGGGCATACTTGCTGTTCCTGGGAATGTGACTCATCTCACATCCTTTCACAGTGATTCTAGGGCCAGTAGTTTATAGACAGCTAAAGATTTATCCACCGGAGCCCAATCCCATATGAATCTTGTGCAAACTTTGGTATAAAAAACTAAACCATGCAATTTTGCTCCCCACCTGCACATTGCAAGGCAGGTTTCTGAAGAGGTCATCCTAAGAGAAATAAGCAAAACTAGCAGGAAGGAAGGAAATATACAACAAATCAAACTAATCCCTGTGTAGCAAGACACATAAACTGAGCAAATGCCATTGTATATAACAGTGCAATATACAAAATACCAGATGCATTGGGATGTTACAGAACAGTTATGTAACTCTAGAAGTTCTGAGTATTAATCAGATGAAAACACAGCTTTTGTTGTGCTGCATTTAGTGCATTTCATCTTTCTGCCATTTCTTTCTTGTTGATGAAGGTGTGCTCTGCTGCCCCAACTCCACCAGCTTAGGGTTACCTACACTTCTAACTTGTTTAAAACAACCTTTGATAATCTGGTACCCTCTGGATGTGCTGGATGACAGCTCCCATCGTGAGAGGACAGGAACAATGGGGATTGTAGTCTGACTCATTTGGGGTCACCAGATTACAGACAGCTGCTTCAAAGGACTGAAGAGAAAGTCTGTCTGCTTTCTCTCCCACTCCATTTTGTTTGAACAACTGTCACGCTAACACTGGCAGACAACTAGGTCTAACAGTAGCAACATACGAGAAGTTGTTGCCATTATCCCAAAATAAAATAAAATATACTAATCAAAATCAAATGTCTGCACAAGCCCTTAAAATTAACTTTCTAGGAAAACGCCTGGCTCCAGACATTCTGCCTGGAAGCAGAGCAAGTCAAGTCCATTGACTCAAATCACAATTTGGTGCCAGCTGTCTCTACACTGACTTAACAAGACCTGCAGTGTTTGTTCACCTCTACAAAATGTTATTTTGCTTCATAGCGCCAGGGTCATATCAAATGAAGTCACCATTTAAGTAATAGCCCTGGGGACAACTGATAGCCAGCCAGCATAGTAGCAATTAGAACCGCACAAGACACATTTTCCCATGTACTTTACTAATTGTATCATTTGTACATCTTTGTCACAAGGGGATGGGGAAAGCTGTATGTTAGTGGGAAAGGTCTGGAAAACAACTTGACATTTACAGTCAACAGTGTAATTTAAGAACATAGGTTTTGTTTGTTTTTGTTGTTTTTTTTTTAAAAAGACTGGCTTAATGGGTAATTGAAAAAGAGAGGAAATGTAGTAAAATCAGAGCCAAATTCAGGCTCATTGAAACCTGAAGGTTTGTAACCTTGCAACAGGAATGAAGAATGAGCCCTAGATGAAAAGATGGTATTTCACAGCTAATAAAATATACATTTTCTACCTGGAATGTTTGAACCAGAAAATTACATTTTTGATCATCCAATCTGGGAAGACAATGACACCGTTGGTTCAGTGTGCATGCTTAACTCACTCACACTCACACTCACACACACACCAGATCTTGATAGATCCCAGTGACTTACAAACATACTTAACACTTTGTTGTTGTTAACTGCCATCAAGTTGAGTTCAACTTACAATGGCTCTATGAATCAGAGACTGCCAAGTCATCCTATCAGCAGCAGCCCTGCTTAGATCCTGCAGATTCAGGGCTTTCTTGAGTCTATCCATATTGAACCTGGTTTTCCTCTTTTCCAATTGTCTTCCACTTTGCCAAGCATGATTGTCTTTTCTAGGGAGTCAGTGTGGCATAGTAGTTTGGCCGTTGGACTGTGACTCTGGAGATCAGGGTTCGATTCCCTACTCTGCCATGAAACCCACTGGATGACCTTGGGCAAGTTGCATGCTCTCAGTCTCAGGAGAAGGCAAACCTCCTCTGAACAAATCTTGTGAAGGAAACCCCATGATAGGTTCCCTTTAGGGTCACCATAAGTTGGAAATGACTCAAAGACACACAATAACAACATGCTTTAACAATTGTGGAGGTTTTTGCTAATGGGGGGTAGAGGCTTTCTTTCCCAGTCATTGGCCAAAGGGTGGTACCTGTGCCCAGGAAGCCTGTAGCTGCAGCAAGGGCAAAAGACATGGACCAAGGAGATCATTGTTTTGTTGGGGGTGGCCTAGGTTCAGAGATGAAGGGAAAGAAGGATGCAGTCCATCTGGGAGTGCATCCTAATTTCTCTTCCCCTCTCTCAGAGGGCACTTGCTGTCCCCTTCCTCCCTTTTTCACTAGTAAGTTCACTGAGGTTCATGGGTTTGCCATAAGTCAACAGGTGAATTGAAGAGGTGTGTGCATGTGTGTGCATGTTTGGATGAGTGTACACAGACACACAGCCTTCAATTCACCTGCTGACTTATGGCAAACCCATGAATTCCAGAGTTTTTTTCATTGAGCTTTCTTAGGCAACTCAGAGGTGGTTTTGCCAGTTCCTTTCTCTGAAATATAGCCTGCACTCCTTCCTTATATCAGCCTTAGCTATATAAAAGGCCAACTCTTAAGAACAATGAGCCAACTATTTCATTCCCATGGCAACATATCATTTGCTATTCCCTAACAAAAGAGATAACTTGCCAGGGCTATTAGGATAACACTGAGGAGTCTCTCTGGTTCTATTAACCTTCTGTTGACCAAAGTTCATTCTTAAAATCATAAAGTTAGAAGGCGAACTTTGAGGTCATCTAGACAACCCCTCTGCTCACAATAGCAATTTAAACTACCGTACTTTTTTGGGGGGGGGCAAGAGCTGAATGGGAATGTTCTGAATGTGTATGAATTAATGAATAACTACATTTCAACCAACTCATCAGTCCAGGAGGTGTGGATCAGCTCAACTCATATGGGATTCATCCAGTATCCATCATTTAAAGAAATCTTTCTGGAGTTTTTCATAGCTTGTTTTTGGATTTCACCATGATAAAAAGTTTAGTCTCTGCAAACCTGGCTACCTTTCTGCTTGTACCTAACTCCAAACTGTCCATTGCTAATCAAATATAATTCCTTGAGGGAAATTTTTTTGCTTATTTTCCTCCACTCTGAAAACTGTTCATTTATTCCCAGAGGTTGGAAATTTACAAGTCATTATTTGTAGTTATAGTTTCAAGGTCAGAAAAAAAGGTGGGCTAATAGTCTAATTACAATTTTAAAGGAATGATTTGCTTTCTTTCCTTAATAAGTATTTTCATTAACATATTAAGACATAACAAAAAAAGAAGCAAAAAATAAAAATCACATAACATCTGGGGGGGGGGAATAAAATACATATCACAACTTACAAAGCTAACCTCCCTTTCAGCTATAAAACTATCATCCAATTACAAAGCACAAATATTTACTTTCATATTTCTGAAATATAACTAAAATAGCTGCTTTTGTTGACTTTTAAAAGAAAGCTCTGTGCTACAAGCTGCTGACCATGGTGCAAACCACCATGTTTCTCCTATCTATCTTATTGTCATCTCAACGTCTACAACAGAGCAACCAAATACAGGGCGGTAACATGACATGCATCACAAACCAGCCCTTAAGCTACTGTATATACTCATGTAAAAGTCTAGAAATTTAGATTAAAAAAAAATTGACTGAAAAAAACTGAGTCGACTTATCCAAGGGTCAATGTAAGTACTGTACTTTAACTTTTATGTATAAAAACAGAATCATTTCCTGGTGAAAAGCAATAGTACATTTTTTCCTGGAAGCACTGACCCCACTCTACTCTCTCATCCATCCATTTAGTGTGAGCACAAAGAGTTATGTCTGCTAGAAATTTGTATATTCTTTGACATTATTTTCCTTTGCTTCATTCTTGAGATCTTTTGTTACATGCTCCTAAGTTTTACTCTCGATTTATCCATGGGTTGTAGCAAAATCCATAATTTTGGCCCCAAAACATGTCCCCAACTTATACATGAGGTCAACTTATAGTCGAGTATATACGGTATGTGATATTCTGCCTCTACCCTGCAGTGAACCCATACTCATAACTAAACATATAAATGAAAGGTACCATTGTCTCACAAAAGCAGGGACATTATCCCTGTTTAAAGTGCAGTTGTAGTATGATGTAGTTACACCATTCTTCTGGGAGAGAGAAATTAATTGCAAGTCACTGTTTGTAATGTTGTGTGCCTTCAAGTCATTTCCAACTTATGGTGATTTCCAATTTATGGTGACCTAACTTATTTCAGGGTTTTCTTGGCAAGATTTGTTCTGAGAAAGTGTGACTTGTACAAGGACACTCATTGGACTTCTCTGGCTGAGCAGGGATTCCCATCCCTGTCTTCCAGAGCCCTAGTCCAATACTCAGACCACTACAACAAAGTACCTACTAGCTTATCCCTACACTCTGCTCCCTGTCAGAGGCTACTGACAGTTTCCATGTTAGTGGGGTAATTAATCCACTCCATCTTTTATTTTAAAATTTAAAAGAGCTATCCAAAATGCTGTTTCTGCTTTCATGATAAGATTCAGAACCTTGGATAGCTTTTTTGAAGTTTGGACTAAAATCCACAGTGGATTTACTGCTCACCAACTGCTTTAAGGCACACTCTAGATATGTTGTCCCTTTTTTCCTGGGAAGGACATTTACCAGCAATGGGACAACAACTGGAGTCACCTCTTACTGGCTTACAGTTATGGCTCATTGATATTTTGAATCTTGAAAGTCTTTGCTATTGATGCACTGTGGGAGCAGGTGTTGCTCAAGGGCACACTCCACACCTAGGGTTATATTTCTTAACGGTGCTGCTGATATATCCAGAGCTTGGAACATTAGCTTGAAAAGTAACTAGTTACAGTTACAGACACAAGGTAGTAGAGCCAATGTGGCATAGTGGTTTAAGTGCTGGACTGTGACTCTGGAGATTATTATTATTATTATCATTATGCTTTATTTATATAGCACTGTAGATTTACACAGCGCTGTACAT